ACCCAAAACATCTAGAAGCACATTAAAACATCTGTCCACATGTATCAATGTCAAAATGTGTTAATACTCAGTGTTCTAGCGAATTAATCCAAAAATCCAAAATCAAACTATGCGGTCTGTGCTGGGACTATGTTACGGTTAATATTTGACATGCTGGACACAGAAGGTTAAGTTTTTATTCGGTTCTTCAAAAGCTGGACTCCCACAATACTTGATAGGTAATATCCTGTTCAAAAAAGAACATTTGGAAAGTTAACCATATGGATGAACAGGTGAAAATGTTTAGTTGGTTGTTTTACTAAAATGCAAAGGTCAACACAAGACATTATCACAAATTGTGTTTCAACATTCGAAATTAAACAAAGCAGTTTGAGTGATATCTTACAGATTTTAATAGACCATTTATAATACCATGCTGAAATTAAAAGAAGCAAAAACATGCTGTTTGCGTGCATGTATCTTTAAATGCAAATGAGCTGCTGCTCCCTGCCCCCTTTTCCAGAATAGGGCTGCGAATTTACAGCTTGCCTCACATACTCTGTCAAAACAAAACATGTATTTGGTTTTGATTATCATGCGGCGAGTGTCACTAAACTAAGTTATTTTTCTCATCTTTCACATGTGGACAGGTAATTATGCTCAGTTGCATTCAAAAACAATATAAAAGTGAATTTCGCATTATAGATCCCCTTTAAGTGATTAGTATTTGTCTGTTTTTATCTTCAGAACAAAATATTCTGTCTGGGCCAATAGGCATCATCATGATTCAAACACCTTCATGCTCAGAACCGAGCGTCTATGAGAAAACATGGCAGATTTCAAATTCCATTCAGGGAGTCCTGCGCCAGCCAAGCAACTGCCATTGATATTACTGCAAATACTAACAGATTTCTCAAGCTATTTTTGACCTCCTCGGTGAGGACCACCCTCATGTACAATAAATGTTTTTTTTTTTTTTAAGGCCACTGAAATCCTTCTAAACATAGCTGTCAGAAACACTTTTCGTTTCTTTAGGTGTAAACCTGTGATGGTCTGTCTCAGTAACACGTTTGTTATTATCCACAAGCTCTGCTTATACAGGCTGCAGTGTACATTTCCCACGAGTGCACACACCGAACTTTTGATGTTGCAATCAAAGCTTGAATCTGTTCTAGCAGCTTCTATGGGACAATTGAAATCGTATGGACGAAAATTGATCGAATCTGGCTTGAGTTTTGGGCAGTTCTCTATGTTTTCAGGATTTATCTGATGGCTTAAAACCTCTTTGATGCTTCATCTAAACCTGTTCTCCGTAAAGAATATTTCTCACATCTGTTTCCATCCTAAAGATGAAAAAGGGAAGAACTAAACTCTTTCATTGACATAATGGTACAGATTACACCAGCACTCCAAATAAAACATCCAAAGAAGGCTTTGTCGCATCTGCGATTTATCTTTCCAATTAATCCACGGTGTGGAGCTCCATTTCTTCCCTCATTAAAGTTATCCGACCGATTTGGAAGCCAGTTTTAGTCATGGGTGAAGTTTGTTATGGTGTTGTGTGCTAGATTTCACTGGAACTAATGCCCTGGGAGACAATGAAAGATTTTAGTCTCTGTTAATCGCGTGATCCAGCATCCAAAACCTGTTTTGCAGTGGAACAGCACAGTCTGTTGACTCACTGTAGTGTCATCAATTACACTCAGGGATGGACTGCGAATAAAAAACAGACCGGGAACACAAACTATTGCTTAAATTCGCAGGGCCCGGGACAAAAAATAGTATGGACGGGCCCTCAATGGCTACACTACACCTCGTCACAGTGACAACAGCCCTGTTACCAAGTTCAGTGGTTCTTTAGTTGACAACTCAGATTTTTTTAAGTTATATTTTTGGGCCTTTTTATGCCTTTATTTGACAGGACAGTTTGAGAGCAGACAGGAAAGCATTGGGTGGAGACATGGGACTGGCAAATGACTTTGAGAGGGGAATATTGATGCCGACAGACAACTCAGATTTGAATAGGAATCCAATAAAGTACAACTTTAACATTGTACAAAAGTACATAAATCCCAACCTTTAAATCCTCGTAAAACCGACAAAAGCGCATGAATGCTGCAAGATAGAGAACGCTGTGGATCGGCTACTGTGGCTTAAATGGCCTGATGATGTTTGACCTTTTCTCCCATTAAAATCTTTACATATTTACTTTGTATCTAAATTCAGTGTCTACGGACAAGCCCGCTGATCTACTGGCCTGCGGGGAAAACGCACCAGTGCTCCTTATAGATAGTCCATCAGTGATTACATTACAAGAGACAGCAAAGCATAAATATTTTACCAATTCAAGTTCACAGAGGCAAAGGTTAATTCACGAGAGGCCCAGAGCTAACCCAGCAGGATTTGTTTGTGCAAAACGCAGCCCATCGTCTACTGGCCTGCTCCTAAATCATTTACAATTGCAAGAGGAATAAGGTTAAAGAGGGGAACATCTGGTACGGCCAAAATAACCCATGCTTTCAGGTAATGGCTAATGAAATTGTGCTTTATTTAACATTTCATCCTGCTGTCATGCTCAGTGGCTAAATGTTTACGAGAGCACGTATGGGATGATAAAAGAAGTTCAGAAAAGCCCCCACACTCGCTCACCTGTGCTGTGTTACTTTACATTATCCAGGATGCCCTGAAGGTGTAGCTCGCCTCTTTGAAGTAAACCCCGACAGCTGGTATTTGTCAAGATGAATGTCCACTTTGAATGTCCTTTTAGTTAGACAGCATTCAAGGAAAGGAAATGCTAAATGGTTCGGTAGGGACGCAGATCTAATGCGGCTAACTCCAGCTGGGGGCAATTCTGAATCATACACACCCCACCGCTGAATGTTCCCGGCAGCTCCTGGCTCGCTGTCTGGGCTGGATTACATACTGTCATGGATATATAGGAAAGTCTGTACAGATTCGTATGTGGACTATATATGTAAATGCAATCAGGAAGATGAATGGGTTGTCTTTACATTGAATCTGGCTGACATATCAGAGAATTTAAAAAAATTGCCTGGAAAACGCCAAGGAAATTAATCAAACCCTAAATGTGAATTGTGTTGTTTGAGCACTACTTGGAATTGTTAAAAGTTTTCCCGAACACTGCCCTCTTCTGCAACTGGTCAGACAAACAGATCCCACCCACAACTCACGCGGCATGCCATTGGCTGGGCAAATATTGCTGTCACAACTTGTTCGGACGCTAAAAAGCACCCCCAGTGCCAAAGTTTACACATTAACCCACAGTTCCCTTTTGAAAAAGAACTACAGTTAAGAAAAAAATACTAATTATAGAAATAATATAATACTTTGGTGTTAACTGAATGTAATGTTCTTGGACACTTAGCATGTTAATTGCAATTAAATAAGTGTGTTATAGCTTAAATTAATTGTAGAGGGATTTTTTTGACCCACTTAAGTAGACTACTGTGTACATTTCTGTATGTGTAAGTGTACAACCATTTATATATAATGTGTATAAGCATTTATGAAATTTGTATGTTATGACATTGGAATTTAGTACATTTAACATATATTAACTTTAAATGTAATACTGAATAACACTACAGTTAAAATTACAATCCGTACTTAACACGTGCTTTAGTGTGTTGGTAAGTGTACATTAAAGCGCAACAAAAACATTAAGACATAATGTACTTTAAAGTAAAGCTTTTAATTTAACATTATTACAAAGTGCACTTAGTGTTAAGAAGCAGTAATATATTATATAACCTTTTATTTCGTACTGTTATCTGCAAGTTATCTGCATTTTTTAAACATACCCTTTTAGGTAACGCTTTAGTAAAGAACCAATTCTCAATATTAACTAGTTGCTTATTAGCATGCCTATTATTAACATATTGGCTGTTTATTAGTTCTTATAAAGCACATATTCTGCATGACCATATTCTACATCCCTAATCCTACCCAATACCTAAACTTAACAACTACTTTACTAAATATTAATAAACAGCAAATTAGGAGTTTATTAAGGAAAAAGTTTTGTTAATAGCGAGAATTGAACCTTAAAATAAAGTGTGACCCACTTTTAAAATTTGAAGTGCCCATTTAATACAAGCAAGCTTCCTTTTCACAAGGGTTGGATTGCTTATAAATACAATAATTCACCAGCTAGATGCTGCTTATTATTGTACTTGTTCAGCATAAAACTTAACACTGCAAACCACAGTCAGTCTGTACTTTGAACAATGATTTATTATAGTGAAAATCAAATTTTATTTTATTTTTTAAATCCTTACATAATAATGAAATGACTTCAGAGATCGTGTAAAAGTCATGACAATTCATTGTGTTGGAACCCTGAGCATGCCCTCGAGTCTGTTATTCACCATTTCTTTATTTTTTTTTGAATACTTCAAATCACCTTATGATTTATCATCTCATGCCATGCGAGTAATGCTGATACCTAATAAATGCAGCCCCTGGTCTCAGCAGTTGCATTTTCCCCCCGTGAGAGAGAGGCCAGACCCTCTCACGGCACACCAGCATCTTATTGAGGAAGAGCTTCCTTAAACCTCTCTATTGTAAGCACCTGGGCCAGGAAGAATGGCTCTTTCACAAGTAAATTGCAGCCCGGCTTTACAGAGAGATTTTATAACAGAGCACAGTTGACATTGGCAAGAGTGGCACGGCCGGCCATTGAAAAGCATGAGCTGCCTCAGTCACAGGAGATCAATCACGGCAGCGTATTTCCCCGAAGCTGTAGATTTCCGCTGGGGAGGGGAGCCAAGGGCAGTAAAATAAGCAGCGTGTGGTTAGTCTCATTGTAGAGCCGAGAATCCCAGCGGGTCCCGTACTTCCCGTGGAGCTGTCAGTCTAAAGCTAACAAAACACGTCTAACGTCTTCAGCCTGCGTCTTCCCTCCCCCTCACAGGCAGGGATGCTGCTGCCATGGTAACAGCTGAGTCATCCCGCGCCCTTCGAAGCGATGCTCTCCTTTCTCTGCTCGGAAGCGCATATGCACTCTGATCACCACAGGTGCCATCTGGGAACAGCACCGGGCTGGCAGATCGTGCTAGCCGGATGGGTAACGTTTCTACTGCGGTCAAGCAGTGCCTGAGCTATGAGACTTTCTTGCGGGATTATCCTTGGTTTCCACGGCTCCTGTGGGAAGAGAAGGTGGGGGTCTGTTTTTGCATGTGCAAGATTTATACATGGCTCTAGGAAATACAGCAACGCAGAGAGAAAAGCAGTCGCGTAAAGGAATAGCTCACCTCGTAATGAGAGTTTTAATAAATGACCCTCATGTTACCCTCAACCAGTTATTTTCTTTCTTCTGTGAGACTCAAGAGTTAATGACATTATATGCAATATTTGTGACTGAAAAAAAAAAAACAGGATTCACTCTTCACCTCCACCAGAGCTCTCAAATCTTGTTTTAAATTTGTGTTTAATTACAAAATGCTGATTTTCAACAAGCCACGCCAGGTTTTATGTTATTTATGCCAAATGGCATTGTTTTCCATTTGAAAACATGCAAATGAGATTTGAGGCCTATGGCAAACTGAAGAACTGGTCACACTTTATTATTTTCAGGTCCAATTCTCACTATTAACAAACCATTAATTATGACCTTTGCCTTAATTAACTCCTAATTTGCTGCATATTAATAGTTAGTAAGGTAGTTGTTACAGTAAGTTTAGGTATTGGCTAGAATTAGGGATGCAGAATATGGTCATGTAGTACAAATGCTTTATAAGCACAAAAAAAAAGCCAATATGTTAATAATAGGCATGCTAATAAGCAACTAGTTAATAGTGAGCATTGGTCCTTAAAGTGTTACATTAAGAATTTAATTCAATTATGATACCCTGCAGTATTCTATGCTATAGTATATGGTACAGACCTATAGTCACATAGTTCATATGGGATTGAAACTACACTGAAAAAAACCACTGTATTACTTTCTCTCAAATTGTAATTATGGCTTGGTTCGAACTTTGTTTTTATTTAATATTAATCAGAAATGTAATCAAAATTTTAAAATTATGTAATATAAAACATCATTTGTTTACATAATTTTAAAATCATTAAATGACATTATTTTAAAGTTATTTTTAATTACATATTCTTGATACGGTTCCCTGACGGGATTAGTGAGCAAAAGCACATACTGTATTTGCACACTAAATACTAAGTCTGCCTCTTGAGTAAAGCAGCAAAAACATCCTCTTTTATATGTACTCAGCCCTAAGCAAAAGCTCCACTCTTCAACAAAATGGGAATTGAAATGGTTTGACATCATCGTAATTGAACACTAATTTTCACATATTGATCGGTTCAAATTCGCTCTACGTGATAGCAGATTGAAGCAAAGAAATCAAGTTCAGCAGAGAAACAATTGCGTGTTTACTGTACCATACCATAGATTTTCTTTAGACACAAGACAAAATTTTATTTAGTGTAGGTGAATATAATAATGTTTTGGCTATTAGTAACTTAATTTCACAGTAAACAAAAGCTAAAATAGCTATAATATGAAATCGAATTTTCACCTAAGAAACAATTTTTAGTCAATGTTTTATTCAGTTTTCTTACTATAAACAAAGAAATATTCTCTTTGAAAGGTTTTAATGTTCATTGTGATAATTTTTTTAAAATGCATGATCTTTTCAATCATGTATTAACTAACTAACTGACTAAATAGATAGATAAATTTAAATATTTGTTTCTTTTACTTTGTTCTGTGTGTTATTTGCTTTTTAGCCAAAGTGAACAAAACAGGTTTAAATGGAAAAACGTCTCAGGTTACGTATGTAACCATGGTTCCCTGAGTAGGGAACGAGACACTGCGTCCTCTAGGGGTCGCTATGGGGAACGCCTCGTCATGACCCGTGTCTGAAGCATACATTGAAAAAACACCAACAACACGTTGGCCGGCGACAGCCATGACGTCACTACCGGTGCGACTATAGTATAAATAGATGCCGGGAGAACACATCATCCTCTTCTTCCACCCATAGAGAGATTGGAATCGATGGATGCATGAGGAAAAAACGGCCTCTTCCATTCCTTCTCAATCTTTATATGGAAAACAGGAAGAAAGGAAGGCTCACCTGAGCTGGAGGGTTATGGCCAGAAAAATAACGTTCATCGAGATACGTCGCGACGTCACTTTCTTCACCCGCTTCACGGCAAGTAAAGTCTCGCCGTGGCGCGATCCATAATTTCCAAAAACTCATCATACGCAAGGGCAGGAGGATTGGGAAGGCTCAGCCTCAGCTTCTTTGCCCCCCTCAGATATTAGCAGTGCATGCCGATTGCCCCCACGGAGGCAATCGGCATGCGAAACAAATAACGCATAGATTTGCGAAACAAATCGCCAAACAAATAACGCATAGATCGTGTGTGTCATCAGATGTTAAACAACGTCAACACGAATGCACACATCCTTAAACGCTTTGCTAGTGCTCGCCATAATGAGATCAATAGAGATCGCTCTTACCAGAGAAATGCACGCTTCAAACAAAACAGTCAATGAAGACGAAGAAGAGAATGATGTGTGCTCCCGGCGCCTATTTATACTGTAGTCGCACCGGTAGTGACGTCATGGCTGTCGCCGGCCAATGAGTTGGTGTTTTTTCAATGTATGCTTCAGACACGGGTCACGATGAGGCGTTCCCCATAGCGACCCCTAGAGGACGCAGTTCGAAGTTCCCATGAAAGGGAACAGATTGTTTATTAGACCAATATAGAAATGCACTTTAAATACAGTAAATGACACGGTTGTTTCACTTCCCAACTTTGGCTTAACCTCTTGAAAATTCCACTCAAAGATAGGGGCCAGAAATGTTTAAAAAATACAGAGACAGCAAAAGTGTTTTGGTCTAATTTATTTCGTTGATAAGAAAATAATGCTTTAATGGATATTTCTAGTGGGGCCTGTATTTCTGGTTTGAGCGGCAAGTTTGATTTATGAGTGAATAACTGTCCTAACTGCAGGCCTGGGGTGATAACGGGACAAACCGCAACGGTTCTCCTCCACCTACATAGCGCACACGGTCAGAAACTGCTTAAAAAGAAGTTTGTTATCATTCCTTTCACACATCCATTCCCCCCCTCCATGACAGCACAATTAAATCAAACTTAGCTCTAAAGAAACTAGTCTGTGCAGTTCCTCACAGCGAGGGTTTCCGTATCAAGAGGCTGGGGTTTTATAGCCATTCAAATCTTCTATAAACACAGCATTGGCCCTTGGTAATACAACTCCCGAATTCAAAGCTTTAGCTTTGGTTTTACCATTGGAAGACAGGAAATGCTTGTTTCCAAAGCACATTATGTCATAAATGACCTGGCAAGGATCTGAAGAGCAGATTCAAAACATGAAGTTGTACGCACCATTTGACAGGAAGCACCGGACAGAGGATGTGTCTTAATCCACCTTTCAGATTTTCCGTACAGCTCTGTGAAATTGTTATATGGTTCTTCCTTCCTCATTGTTTTTCAATTTACAGTGCTCTGAACTGCCTAAGCTTCCACTTTGTGTCAAAATTGTGGAGGTCGGACCGAGAGATGGACTTCAAAACGAGAAGGTAGAGATTTCACAATTCTAAAGTGCTTGAAGCATTGTGGCTCGAAGTGGTTAAGCATGTTTATGATTAGTATTCTGCTTTTAAATTTAAGGAGAAAAACACCATCATAACAAACTCAAAGACATAAATATAACAAGTGGCTGAGGCATAAAGAAAACCACAGCTGGTACACATTTTTGTTCAGTAATGACATTGGTGAGCACAAAACATATAGGATGCATGATACACTACTACCAATAATGTTGTATTTGGACACATTTTTAGCATGATTTAGTCAACATAGACTGGAATTGGAAAACTGTGCAAGCAAGCAAGTTTAAATGCCATGGTTGCTTCAAAATATATTTTTTAGGGTATGGTTTAGTGTAGGTTGTTCTTTTTTTTCAAATGCAATCGAGTGTTAACTTTTTAGCATCACTCAACGGTCGTTTATTTTGCAAATGGCTGGGATGTGTTGGCGACACCAATTGTGATACATTCAGCATCTGTTACATTTTAGCACCACTCACTGAAACATATTATAATTTTGCAAAAATGTCGCCACAGGCACATTTTTCCAACGAGCCTTTTAGCAGATATTGTCCTATTGTATATATTCACAGGAAAACTATTCATTTGGTGATGGTGGCAAATAAATTATTCATCTCAATAGCACAGGCTCACAGATGTACACGCTCCCTGGATGTGTTCATAGAAACCTAAGACTTTTGCGTCATTGTGTTCCTGTAGGAAATAGTGCCGACAGAGGTCAAAATCCAGCTGATAGACATGCTCTCTCAGACCGGGCTGCCCGTCATCGAAGCCACTAGCTTTGTGTCTTCAAAGTGGGTAGCACAGGTAATAAGGTGCGCTTGTTATCCTCGAGAGAATGTTGGCTGATATCCTGTGGCTTTTCTGTCAACACAAAACCACTGCATTTGGTATTCACATCCAAAAACTGCATTTGCGCAAAACCCGTTGGGATAAAGCTTGAGTATGAACACTTGTTGGTTTGTTTTTTGTTTTTTCAGATGGCAGACCACACTGCAGTGTTGAGAGGGATTAAAAGGTCTCCTGACGTTCGATACCCTGTTCTGACTCCCAATATTCAGGGCTTCCAGGCAGCTGTAAGTAAATATTTGCATCATTTACATTTATTTACAAGTGACATTTGCAATTTACCTTCCATGCCAGGCCAATGATGTTTTTCTTGTATAATAAACCACTTTATTTATGCATGTGCTCTGCCTACGCATTCACTGCCCCTTTGCTTTACATAAGAGTGCAACCTTTACATCTTGCACCATTTATTTGTAAATGTTTAGCCCATTTCTGTTAATTGCTTTCCCTGCTAATCATGCCAGTTGTGCTCACAAGCCAACATCTACTGTATAAGCACAAACTTGATTAAATGTTTCCTGTTAAAGGTTGCAGCAGGAGCTACTGAAGTGGCAGTGTTTGGTTCCGCCTCAGAGACTTTTAGCAGGAAGAACATCAACTGCTCCATAGAGGAGAGTTTGCAGAGGTTCGAGCAGGTCATCTCTGCAGCCAAACGGGAAGGCGTACCAGTGCGCGGGTGCGTTAAACCGACACCAGCTTTCTTCTATGTGTTTTCTTTGAGATTTAGGCCATTGCTCATTTTGTGCACAAGTATCGAAAGGAAATCAAGTCAACGTCAGGTAGCTGTATGGTTCATTAGAGGCCTAATACAGAATTATCTGATTTTGGGGGAATATCTGTGCCAAAATGTGTCAATCAGAGCATTCTCATTGATAGTTGAAAGCATAATCAAAGTGTCCAGAATTGATATTAAATTAAAGTGCAAGCGACGTGTCACACTTTGCATGGTGGACTTTCCATTATTGCAGAAATAAAGTTCTCTCCAGATTTCTGCCCATTAGCTGCCATCTTTGTACCACAGTCCCCTGTGCTGAGTCACTGCTTAACTAGGACAGGAGCAAACATTTATGTTTATACAAGCAGTCTCTGGGATCCATCATTAGTGTGACATTGAGCAGGAAGAATATCAACTTGGAAATGATTTCAGCCTGACGGGAAGCTATGGCTATGTGCCATAGACCCAGTATTCATATCAAGTAATAGGCCAGTGTTCATTATGTGCACTTTCACACTTCAACACTAATTTTGAATGAGAATCTGACCAGCAATCTGCCAGTGATGCAGAAACCGGCTGATTGTGCTGCAGATTATAGTTACTCAAAGGGTTGTTGTTGCAAAGCAGATAAAGGTCTGGTAAAGGGAAGGTTGTAGGCAAGACCGTAACCTCATATTCAGGATTAGGGCTGACTTAACGTAACAGCCAACAGTATCGGCCATTGAAACCCCCCCCCAGGAAGAACTTTGAGAATGATATGTGTCCTTGGACCACAAAACCAGTCATAAGGGTCCATTTTTAGAAAATTACGATTTATACACCATCTGAAAGCTGAATAAATAAGCTTTCCATTGATGTATGGTTTGTTAGGATAAGACAATATTTGGCTATTCAAACTATTTGAAAATCTAGAATCTGAGGGTGCAAAAAAATCTAAATATTGAGAAAATCGCCTTTAAAGTTGTCCAAATGAAGTCCTTAGCAATGCATATTACTAATCAAAAATTAAGTTGTGATATATTTATGGTAGGAAATTTACTAAATATCTTCATGGAACATGATCTTTACTTAATATCCTAATGATTTTTGGCATAAAAGAAAAATCGATAATTTCCTATCAAATGTATTGTTGGCTATTGCTACAAATATATCCCAGCGACTTATGACTGGTTTTGTGGTCCAGGGTCACAAATTGTTTTCAAAATTGGCAGAGCTTTTTGCTGAATTCTGCAAGTGTGGAATTCATGTGTCCATAGTTAATCAAAGGGGCATACTGGATCAAGGTCTGAAGTAGTTACTGGATAGTTGTAGGTTTGACCCTCGCTGATGTTTTTGAATGTTCTGCAATGCTGATTGTTATGACTTCCCTGCAAAATCAGCAGAATTCTTATTGGTAGCAGAATGTTTAATAAAATAAGCTGAAATAAAATAATTAAGAAAAAAAAAATCAAGGTTTACCTCTGAGCTGCCAACATAATAATACCACTGAGACAGACATTTGATCCAGGAGATTGTCCCTACTGAGCTTAGACTTCAGGACTATGGTTTTCAGAAGCCATTCGTTATATAAGCAAGCTCCAATACTGATCTTTGGTTTAACCGAAAGGTCAGTGGTTTCTTTTATTGTACTTACACTTTTTTGGACTGTTCTCCTTTGAGGTTTTGAGATGGGGCACCAGAGCAGCATGAAATTATTCCAGAATTAATGAGTAAATAAGTCAAGTTCCAGATGTGCATGCAGTGTGGCGCTTTGTATCAGTTACAAGTACAAGTCCATATGTGTCCAGAGTTTTTAGGCTGTGCTCTTTACTGAATAAGTAACATAAAAAAAAAAAACGATAGAGAGCAGTCACTTCACTCTGACGAACTCATTCTGGCAAATGTGACTCAATGCCTAACGTTCAAGAAGAGACTCCACAGAAATTCTGGTAGCACACAGCAGTATCGTCTGATGACCACAAGCCCAAGAGGAACATTTTCAACTTTTCACTTGTTTGTTCACTGTTTCTAGCAGAACATGTTTCCTTCACATATGGAAAGCACATATGGTTTATACGTCGCTCTCTAGCACCGTTTCTCATTCCCACTGTCAACACTATTGGTACTATTTGTCACAACCGTTTGACACCGACCATATGTTTCGCCTGCTGCTGAACATTTTGTTTTATTCTGTGATAGATGTAATCCGTTGTTCTGGCCGCTGTGGACTGTTCTGCTTGCGGTTGCAGTAAAACAGCACTTGGCATTATTTCACCTATGTTGCGTGACTGTTGGTACTATAAGCTCAAAGCTATATATCCTCCAGCATGGGCTGAGCTTTACGTCTCATAGCTCTTTCGGTAATACTTTATTTCGATAGTCCACTTTAGACATTCTATTAACAGTAAGTAACTTTGCAACTACATGTCAACTAGCAGTTAGTAGAGTATTAGTAGACTGTCTGCTTAATATCTTCTAACACTTTCTTTGTCAACTTATTCTACTAACCCTAAACCTACCCTAAGTCTACTCTGAGAGTTAGTAGACATGTAGTTGCAAATTAATGAGAATTAGTTGACATGTAGCTGACATGTAGTTACAAAGTTACTTATAGTTAGTAGAATGTCTAAAGTGGACTATCGAAATAAAGTGTAACCGCTCTTTCACTTCTTTCCAGGTACGTTTCCTGTGCTCTCGGCTGTCCGTATGAGGGACAAGTAAAACCATCCCAAGTCACAAAGGTATTGTAATAGCAGCGTCGTTCAATCCGAATAGCATTGTTCAGTGTATAACGGCCCGAAGCAAGATTAAATGGGCCTTCCAGTATGTGATAAATCTCATTGAGTGTTGAGCGCTCTGCATATTTTTTCTTCCCACAATTTTGGTAGTCCCACAAGGCCCTTATTACGATGTTTGCTAAAAAACCCCGCATGACGCTGTAACATGGCAGTGCTTTTCTAACGCTCAGAATGAGCTCTCTGTGTGCACTCCTTCATCTTGTTTATATTTCCAAGGGGGATAGTGTTTTCATGGCTTTCCTCTGTTCCGGCCCAGGTGGCAAAGCGGTTGTTTGAGCTGGGCTGTTATGAGGTATCCCTGGGGGACACCATTGGCGTGGGCACCGCGGGCTCCATGGCCGAGATGCTGAGCGATGTGTTGACAGAGGTGCCCGTCAGCGCACTGGCGGTGCACTGCCACGACACTTACGGTCAGGCTCTGCCCAACATACTCATTGCTCTGCAGGTGAGTCACAATCAACAGGTACATGCATGAGGGATTGGGAGAAGGGGATATTATAACAAACCATCATATATGTCAGCTGTAGTGCCATCTATCACAATAAAGCATCATGTGTGCACAGAGAAAACTGTATCGGGCTTTAGGACTAAAATATAGTCCATGAAATAAATGCAAACATATCCTGCTAATCGAGGTCTTTTCACCCATTGCTGCATTCTGAACACAAATCATAACACAGTGAAACACATTTTTATAAACGTTTCGCTTTTATTTGTAATGTTTCTTTATGAAGTTTGACATGCTGAATATGAAAATCGCATTACTTCTGTGTATCTTTAACAGTGCTTATGAAAACTGAAAAAAAAATATGTTGAGAACTTATTAAAGCGAATATGTTATAACTCATGCATAAAAATGACATGGCACATGCATAATACTGAGCTAACAACAACAGTTACCAAAGTGAGTCGTCCAAAACTTCAGACGTGTACTTTGGATGATTTTTTGTCTTTAATGACTACTCCTACAATGTTCTGGAATGTTCCAGAAAGCACTAGAATCATTCTAGAAACTTCTAGAATGTTCCCATTCTTGAAAAAGTAAAATATATTTGCTACAGATACAGATACAGACATCGGCTCTGCTTCACACCCCTACAAAGTGACTTACTTTGCATTCAAGGTACACATTTACACTTTACAACATTGCTATTTACATTTTACGTGTTGCAATCTTATCATTGCAAAGGGCCCTACAATTATCTAATAAAACACCTGATTTAATAACACAGGCATTTGAAGGCAACTCTGTTGCCCCCTGTGTACTGAATTTGTTAATGGCACAGTAATGCAAGGATCACAAAATAAGTATGTGACATGCAATGCGCTGGTAAAACATTTACATCTGCCTTTGTGTATATTTCTAGTTTTATGTCACAACTATTTAAAAGAACTCATTACGACAGAGCACATAAATCCAGTGGCAAAATTCTCCGAGAAACAGAGTAATCAAGAAACATGAAGCAGAAGTTTACAGTGTCTCACCACCTTACCTCACATACACACACAGGCCTCCAGGGAAGGCAACGAAAACTACTGAAACACCCTCCAAAACCCCCGGGAGTATCAGCAATTAAACTTTTTTTTTGTACTTTCACCTAAAAAGCACAGAACAACAACAACAGATACCACCCCAAATACACTTACACAAAACTGCCAGGCGCGTTTGAATGTGACGACTAAACGCTTTTATGAAACAATGCCTGCCTGTGGTTTAATTTTCGCGAACCTTAAACCACAGAGCGCGGCCGCAATTCAGAAATAACACTGGCATGGCTTTATCAGCTCTCCAGGGCCCCTTGTGAGCTCTTTCTCAGTTTGTCTTCCCTCGCAGAACGCCGCTGCTCTTTGGGGGCTGGGTGGGTCAGCAGATGTGAAGGGCTGGACACAAAGGCTTACCTATTAGATGTCTGTTTCATATGACAGTGGCTTGGCTCTTGACAAAGCGCACGAGATGGAGGCTGGAGCGGGGCCCTCAGGGGCTCCAACTCATCTGTCGCTAGGGCCGTTGAACTCTGTGACAATGCTGCGCTTAAAGGGCAAGGGGAAATTTATCCTTTCATCACTCGCTACTAAACAGAGGGAGACTGGGGAAAAGGAAAACCCCGCGCTCTAGTATATTCCATTCTCGGCTCCCACCCCTTTTTAGCCCTGTCTGTCTGTTTATCCGTCTCTTTCAAGCTGTAACAGTGTAACTCTAACTGCGGTCGGTGCGCCACAGAGATGGCCATGAATTTTTCAGACTTTTTTTTCCCTCTGTGAATTGTGTGACATGACAGGGGGTCCTTTTTCAAAAGACAGAAAATGAACAAAGATACCTTACCAACTGAAAACAATGAGCAAAGTTCACATACCTGAAGTACTCCGAAACCAACACTTTATTAACTTCATCATTGTTAACTCTGTCTGTTTGTTTGTACAGCATATATATATATATATATTTATGTGTCTGGTTTTAATGTGATAAATTTTTTTTGCTTTTTCTAGTTTGTCATCTATTAAAAATGGACAATATATATATATATATTTTTTTTTTTTTTTTTGAAGAAGAAGAAGAAG